TTTGGCGAGCCTTTGGCAAAATTTGATGCACACGCCATTCCGAAATCGCCCTCTATTGACACAGTCTGGAAACGTTCCGATCGCACCTCGTATGTAGATCTGACTGGTCCTTGGACCATACAGAATTCTGGAAGTTTACGCATGTAAATTGCTATCTGAATGCTAGGTCAGCCGACACAATTTGAGCCTTCCCTTACACCCAGGGCCACCTGAAGATCTTTTTGTTAAATTTGATATACCCCAGTGATGGTCTTGGCCTTTGTGGAAGTCATATACAACTGCATTAGTAGGATGCTGTCTCATACTTACAATTAATGTGGTTTCAGATATACAAAATATAATTTTCTATCAACTAATGGACATGACAACTTATAATTTAACAAATAATTTCTTATACAAAAATTAAATATCAAATACAACATTAACTAACTATATTAGCCAACACAATTGACGCAGTGTAGGTATACACATATTACGACACATTAACTAGAGTTGCTTAGCGTTTATCAAAAATACTGATTTAGTATGACACTCGAAAGTCGATAACTTTTGTTACCTGCACTTGCAATTATGAAAATCTTCACTGATATAGCTTAAGGTTAGTGCACGACTTAAAAACAAACTTTTCTGCAGCGTAAAGTGCATTACAATGTAAACAACTCCATCGTTAAACAACAACTTTGGTTCCCAAACATGAATGAAAGCACATTAGATATTAGTGTCAGAGATGAATGACTACTCAACAGTAAAAATAGTGCGTTAATACAAAAGAGCAACACAAGAAGAGAGAGAGATAAGGCAGGCGTTTGTCAAGTGTCACTTCTAAACGAATGGATGATACAAACGCACTAGCAACAAAACTGAAAGCAAGTTTAATGCTTGAGTGATTATAAAACCGTGAATTGGTGACGAATGAGCCTAAATTAGTCACAGTCCAATCCCGGACAGGAGAAACCAGAACAGCTGTTCCGTATCAGAACTCGATGTAGGAAAAATTAGTTGTTACGCGGTACGACATTGCTTGGTTAGCATATACGTGTTTGTCCCACATCACTGTTCACACAAGGATCGCTCTTGGGTGAGAGAGAACTGGTACAGAACCATAGTTATTACATAAAATATGCCAAAATATTCAAACATACGCATATAAATTCAATTAGGCTCTTAAGGACAGTTGCACTCTAATTATAATATACAAAGAACCGACAATTCTTGCTTTTAAACCGCGATTAAAGTTTCAATAAGTTTAAGAAATGCATTTCGAAACTCTCAAAGTAAATACGATTATGAGATCTGAGGTAAAGATGTCGCTGTTGGTCTTCTGTTAACGCCGTGTGGACTTGTGGGTATACAACTGTATTTTTACCATCACCATGTTAAATTTGTAAATTTAGATACGTAGATACGTAGATACTAAGCATCACGCCATGCAGACGTAGGGGGGAGGAGGCATAGCTCCATGCATTCGTAATCTTGGTACTAAATTGAGGATAGTGGCTAGTTTTAAGCCCCGGCCGTTTTACACCCGAAGGAAGTAACCCCTTCACCGACAGGTCGGAAGATTGAGTGGGCTCCAGACTTGGTTGTGGCGAAAAGAAAATTCTTGTCCGGCCGTTCACTATAGTGACTGAACTAAGATGACGAAGTCAATTTTGTTGCTTAAACAAACAGGGTACATGATTTCCAAACTTATAAGTAATAAATTTATGAATTTGTTACTTCTTTGAAGGAAATGATATTCTGTATTCACAAACTCACTACAGTTTACTTTTAAAAAATCGTAAATCTACGCAAATATTAACTTGCTACATGGGGCGGAATCCTTTTTGAGGAGCCAACAGTCGGTACACGAAATCATTAAATTGTCCACCTTTCACAGAATCCTAGGTTCATCACTGATCACTATCCTCATCTACAATTACACTATCAAATCCTAAATTTTGAAGACCCATTTTAATATTTTCCTCCCATCTACCATTTCGTCTCATAAGTGGTCTCTCATCTTCAGGATTTCCGGTTTAACAATGTTTGTACATTTTCCGGTACTCCTTACAGGTCCCCAACTTTTCAGTTGGCTTGATCTATGGGCATTCGGTACGACTCCATGGACGAGGGATCGGCCCGTCGCAAGGCTTCTACCTGTACACAGGGCAGCACAACACAGAAAAACATCCATGGCTTGGGTGGGATTCGAACCTACGGTCCCTGCGACCAAACGGCACAAGGCCCACGCCTCAGACCGGGCGGCCACCGTGGACCCCAGGATTTCTGACTAAAAAGTTAAATATGCATAACAAGTTCCACCCACCTCATTAGCCTACTTAAGTACTGTGGTAAAAAGTAAGGTTATACTAGTTACGAAAGACATGGAATTGGTTACTAATGCAAGAAAAATCTGTCTGTAAAAACACTGGAGAGAAATTAAATTCAGTTAACACCATCAGATGAAGTCACTGGCCATAATTTACAATTGCAGTCCAACACGAAGCTGAGGCATAGCTCCATGCATTCGTAATCTTGGTACTAAATTGAGGATAGTGGCTAGTTTTAAGCCCCGGCCGTTTTACACCCGAAGGAAGTAACCCCTTCACCGACAGGTCGGAAGATTGAGTGGGCTCCAGACTTGGTTGTGGCGAAAAGAAAATTCTTGTCCGGCCGTTCACTATAGTGACTGAACTAAGATGACGAAGTCAATTTTGTTGCTTAAACAAACAGGGTACATGATTTCCAAACTTATAAGTAATAAATTTATGAATTTGTTACTTCTTTGAAGGAAATGATATTCTGTATTCACAAACTCACTACAGTTTACTTTTAAAAAATCGTAAATCTACGCAAATATTAACTTGCTACATGGGGCGGAATCCTTTTTGAGGAGCCAACAGTCGGTACACGAAATCATTAAATTGTCCACCTTTCACAGAATCCTAGGTTCATCACTGATCACTATCCTCATCTACAATTACACTATCAAATCCTAAATTTTGAAGACCCATTTTAATATTTTCCTCCCATCTACCATTTCGTCTCATAAGTGGTCTCTCATCTTCAGGATTTCCGGTTTAACAATGTTTGTACATTTTCCGGTACTCCTTACAGGTCCCCAACTTTTCAGTTGGCTTGATCTATGGGCATTCGGTACGACTCCATGGACGAGGGATCGGCCCGTCGCAAGGCTTCTACCTGTACACAGGGCAGCACAACACAGAAAAACATCCATGGCTTGGGTGGGATTCGAACCTACGGTCCCTGCGACCAAACGGCACAAGGCCCACGCCTCAGACCGGGCGGCCACCGTGGACCCCAGGATTTCTGACTAAAAAGTTAAATATGCATAACAAGTTCCACCCACCTCATTAGCCTACTTAAGTACTGTGGTAAAAAGTAAGGTTATACTAGTTACGAAAGACATGGAATTGGTTACTAATGCAAGAAAAATCTGTCTGTAAAAACACTGGAGAGAAATTAAATTCAGTTAACACCATCAGATGAAGTCACTGGCCATAATTTACAATTGCAGTCCAACACGAAGCTACATTTCAATCTTAGGCTACTATTTCAGCACTGGCATTTAGTCTAACATTTACTAAATACAACATAATTTGGTATCAAATACATCAGGACTCTTTGGTATTATTGCCGTCCTGCAGTGAGAGCCAAGAGATTTATAGTAGCACGAGGCACACAACTTCGCAATCAAAAGTCTTTCCTGAACAGATTACAGTTAAATTATTCAAGCAATCCCCTGTTGGCACGCAACCTGGACTGTTTAATTTAACAATCATTTGTCAACTACACAATTTTCAGCACTGATTATCACTTTAAACCCAGGTTCTACCAGCTTTATCAGTCAGTAACTCAGCATTTTGTATTTATGGGTTTAGTATGATTCCCAGTGTTAATTGGGATCAGCCATTTTCTTAAACAGCATTAACCAGTTGTTCCTTGTAATGGAGACATGTGGTGTTTCTTTCTTTACAAGAGTTTTGGTTTCAAAGACAGTAAAATTTTACTTCACTTTCAATCTATTCCTATCAGAAGGACGAGCAGGTATTGCCTGGGAACCTTCTATTAACATGCTCTCCTCCTCCTCCCCCCCCCCACCCACCAAACTTTTCTTCCTTTCCTATCTCTTTATGTTCTTTTTGGCTTAAAATGGTTAACAGGACATCAAATTATTGGGTACTTGTGGGTTATCGGAATTTCTTATATAATCTATGAATATAAAACAGTGCATTTAAACACTTTTTAAAATATTTTCAAAACTTGTAAGAATTTACAGAAATGTATATTAAACTCTGGTTGAAAACTGGAGGGGAAGAGATCATAGAGACCTATATTATGTGCAGAAGGAAGGAAGGATAACATTAAAACAGATATTACAAAAATATGTTGTGAAATGTATTCAGTCTGTGGTAGCAGCTGATGAATATCGACACCAACTAGCCTTGAAGATTCATAATGGAGGAAATTGGTTTACCAGTTTAAAAATTTCCAACTTCTCAAGTAGCATGAAAAGTTGATTATAGAGTGTATTCGATTAGGTCAACATCACTGATTCATTCTATGGTACAGAATCATTCTGTCCAGCTTTGGGTGGCGAAGAACCACATTGTGGGTAAAAATTATATTCGTTTACTAAACAAACGAAACATTACTTTTTAAAAAAAGAACTGTAACGCAGCTCATACTACTGGGAATATGAATAGTAAAATATAAAGGCAGATGAATGTTACACATGAGAGGTTGAGGAAAGTCGTAATCTATGGTCTATTACAATTCACTATCCTGTCTTGCTTCTGTCTTCACAGAAACAATTTTTAATTCCAAAATTACTTACTTGTTTAAAGTATGAATCACGTGATTAAAACATGTAGAATTGTACGCAGACATTACTTGTAATTCGGCCTCTTTTTCTTACACGCAATTTTAAATAACGGCATACGTCTACTGTTAAAACAAAAGTTGTTTATGAAGTGTTAATTGTTACACGGACTCACCGAGGTTGAATACGGCTGGCAGCTGAGTCGAATACCGTCCTGGGTGAGCTTGTCTTTCAGCAACAGTTTCAGCTGCAGCCGCGGAATCTTGACAAGTTCTGCCTTGCCTTCCTCATATTCGTCAAAGTACTTGCCCAACTCTTGCGCACTATCAGCGGAAGAAGGAGCCGGACTGCTGCCAGTTCCACAACGTTGACCACCTTGTTGCTGCTCCTTGTCTGAAGAACCTTGGTGTCCGGACGAAGTTCTAGACGAGCGAGCACTTGAACTATCACACTGACAGTCTTCGTGGACAGCTGCAGTCTCTTCTAAAGTAAAATACACAGAAGCTGCGCCTTCTTCCCTCAACGTACGAACCGATTGGAGTAGTCTATTTCGATGTGAAGGGTTAAACACACCGATAGCATCCAAGTCAGGGTCGCCTACCTGCTTACATATTTCCAAATCATCATAACCATTGTCAATGAAAGATTCTGCGTACTGGCCCAAATGTAAGGATCTCAACCACTCCACGACGATATTGCTTGACATGTTTACACCCGCATAGCAATGAAAGAAGTTTCTTCATTGACACAGCAACACTGTTACCACACCACGCTGTCTTCTGAGCACGATAACAACGCATCACACCGCGAGCGAAACTAAGACCATACACACACCAGCCGTCATATTGACATTCTCTTTGAACTTGTATGGAGCGCCGCAAGATAGCAGCACAAGTAGGGAAGCGCAGAACACTTGAGCGGCGGAAACCGTACCTTCGCGCATATAGGCCACGTATTACGGCGCCGATATCAATCATTTATCTTCCTAAACTTAGCCAAAACAAATTCACATTTTAAAATTGGAATAGGATGATTTGTACATTGGAATTTTCATGATTTGAACATGAATTAACCTCCCTCCCGACATTAGCGCATAGCTATAGACCAACAAATCCAAAAGTAATTCATTTTTAATTTCACCCAATAACTCTTTTTCAGTAGTTTTGGTGATACAAAGTAGCCGCTGTCTAAGTGTAATGCGTAGTAATTTGATTTCGAAAGAACTATCTGACGATACCAGTGCTGCAGAATACAAAAGTTTTCTGAATATCAATTTAAATACCATTCTACTCATTCTTGTACTGGCGTGCTTGAACATTATTCCTTTTGCTAATTATGTTATGGAAAAGTATGCAACTTTATTTCCTTCGCTAGTCTACTTTTCATTTATATATTTTAATTGTTTCTTTAGTAAGTATTGCGATGTATTATCAATATCGATCTTTTCTTGTTTTCGAGTATTTATCTGAAGTTTTATATTATGTTCGTGCTTACAACTCTATCCAAACATAGTCTTTAATTTCTGTTCTATAAGATGTTACCGAAAAAGAACGTTAACATTTTATTAGTTCCAAAATGAAGTATAATTCCATGAAACGTCAAAACGATAACAGATACATGATAATAATAAACTTTCAAAAACACATGCAATGAAATTCACATAGTATTTGTATATCGTATCTCTAAAATGGCCTACCATTTTAAATTCCAGTATACACACCTTCAACAAGCAATTTAAAATTATAATCATTTCGAATAATTTAAACTTAATTAATCTAGACCATCCCAAACGCCCAGTATATGCGTTATCCTCGCTAGTTTATAGAAGGTTTGTCTGTCTGTCTGTCTCTCTCTCTCTCAAAACGAAATTGGTTCACATAGCTCACGAATTGCAGCATAAATCAAGTCGGTCTGGCCTGTGTACTCTCGTATAAATTTTAGTTTAGCTTTGCTAATTACGCACACTGTGTTTACATTAGTCTAGCGAATGCATCTGCTCTTGGAAAAGGGGGGGGGGAATCTGGTAGACGAAGAGAAAGTTGAAGGAGGATATGCGTTATCACCGATGTGGAAACAAGTCAAACTGGCCTTAGAGTCTGCAGGATGAAACAGATGCACAGGAACTACAAATGCAACACAGAGTCAACTGATTTGGTGACCCAGTTTTCAGACACATTGTACATTTCTGGGTACTTGCAGGATTTAAGGTAGACATTTCGTAATATCGTAATAATAGGAACTTTCTTAATCAGAAGGATATGGCGAATACTCTGTATTAAGGCGATAGATAGCGTTCAGGACACATTCCACCTCGTGTGACGCAATGGCTGTTGGTATTACTAAAAACACAAGGTGTTTGTGTACAGTGTACACTGTTTGGTCACGAGCAATTGTGTGTTTCTATGTCAATGGGGATCCATTTGACAGCTTGTAATAGCAAATGACCAACAGTAGGCATTCTGTAATATCACTTAATGCTTTTTTAATTTTAAGATTGCGTTACGAACAAAATAACATGAGGATATGTTAACTACATTATTTTCCTCTAAGCACTGTAACTATCAAAGTTATGTGATATGAAATTTCAAACTTGTTCCTTTAAGCAGTTTAGATTCCTGAAATTATGTAAAGTATCATTAATTTTTTCAACATCACATTCTTTAAACATTGGCAAGTCCCCTGAAACTTTTTCCACCATGTATACCACTGGGAGATGAGGTGTGTGATTTACAGATGAATCTTTTAAACATAAATTCCCTTGATGTGTAGTTCAAATAAGAAATGTAGATCCTGTACTTTTCAAATACATTCCACGCGGCTTTTATACGCTTATAGAATTGTAAATATGAATCTTTTTGCAAAGCTGAAACAAACACGAAATGATTTTCCCTTATATTTCACTAAAAATACCATCACATCGAAAATAATTTAAAATAAACATTGCACAAACTAACAGTACCCACATTTTTTGTTTTGTAAGTACCATTACGTCTACAAATAACTATTTCTGAGAACATCGATAAAATCGATTTTAGATCTACGTTGCTTCAGCCCGGTACTGACCAAAATTAAATCTTCCTAATAACCTTTTAATTGAAATACATTCAGTATTTTCAGAGCTGTAAGAAGTGAACTCCTCTTAATGCAAAAAGTTAAGCTCCTTGTACATAAGAAGGTAGAGAAACTCAGCTTAATCAGAGTAGCCTAAGATAAATTACTTCAAAATATTTTATCTTACGATATCTAATCATTATATATTTTTGTATAAATTAATGAAGGAGGTGTTTGCAAATTTCCTGTTATCTCTGAATTACAGAAAAATGCATATTCCTGGAGGAACACACAACGCCTTTGGTAGAAAGATGGAATACAATTCCACTACCGCATTGTGACAACAGAACTCATTCCGCTAGTATTCTGATAATAAATTATTGATACAACTCCGTATCAGACGACACTGGCATATCCACTCGCTGATTACATTACACCGATAAAGTTTGTTCCACATCTGTCACTGAGTGGCTTTCTGCAGATATACGAAGTGACGGAAGGAATATACGTAACTATAATTTTAGCCTTTTTTATACTTGTATGAAATCTGCCCTTTCACACCAGGAGAAGAAAGAACTCAGATAGAGGTGTTTGGGAGCAGGGTATTGAAGCCAAAAGATTGGACTGACATACTCTGCGTTACTTAAATATAAACAGATAAGAAGCGACAGGAGGCTATAAAGACTGCATTATGAGGAACTTCGTAAGTTGTACTTTGCAACAATTTTACTACTGCTAGTGACATGTAAAAGCAACTGGGAAAGATTATGGAGGTCGCCTTCGAGGGCAGCTGCTCCAAAAGAAATATCTGACGGATTCTTAAGGAATGCAGCACGCAACACTGCCTGGATGCTCCTCGCAATCTGCGTCATTAATTAATAATCACTTTTTAGTTCAGTCCCCACTAAATGGATCTCACTAAATTTTCATCTAGGCGGAAGGCACGGGGGGTAATCTAACCTCTTAACACGTTGCATAACTTTGACGGGAAGGTCCCCCGATGCTCAGCTTGCCCCATCAATCATGCATTAAACTTATAAGGAACGAAACCCCTCTGAAAATTGAGGTTTTGCGCTAATTAGCATTTACAATATACAAGTTCATTCCCTCAAGGGCATTAGTCCTCGCCACTGAAGGATATCTTCATAGGCAAATAATGGTCGAGCGGAAAGGATAGTCGATAAGACAAGTACTTCTGTATAACAATCGATCGATTAATTAACAGCGTCAATGACAGTCCGATTATTTAGCAACGGTAACTGTTTTAACGTTTGATCAATACATTAAAGTTTCTGATGACTAACAGTTATCCCAGAACTTTGGTTAACAAGACTGTACTTGTGAAAACGTTTGATGCATTGCAATAATCGTCAGTGTTCTATATAAACAATTTTATTTCGATAGAATAAATCCCATATGCAACACGTCATATATACGCAGAGTAAAATTTAATACTCATATTGGAACGTAAATTTTGAGCTGATGAATCACTTTATTACTTTTACGATCAAACACGCTCAATCAAGCACAAGATTACCGAATTACATGGAAAAATTCATCGCATGACATCAATGAAATGATTTTTCAACGTATATTGTTCATACAACTTTAAATTTTATGGAAAATTAATTAGGCCTGCTATATATTTAACTATCCTGGCCACCAAATAGTTTATATACCATCCAGTAATGAAAGGAAAAACACGTATAAATAGCGAGTTGGTAAGTATGAAATGGGAAGTGATCGTGGCTCATTTTAGTTTAATACATACACATTTTTACGCACTTATATTCATATATTCCAGCGTGTGTATAGTATTATTACAAACTGGAATATATTTTGAGATTTTTCCCATTTTAGCCATATTACAACGCAGAATCTAATCTGTTAAATACTGATAATTTTATATAAACATATTACATTTATCCAGTGTTATTGTTTTTGGAAGCAAATGATTAATACTTTTTCATTATGCGTATTAAATCTAATATGTGATTAAGATACAGGGAAAGTCAGGGTTAGAACCATTTCCCTCTCTGATCCCCTCCCTTCCCAACCTCACCCCTGACCGCAACAATCCGTGGCTTAATTTAAGTAATGCAAAGTGATTCAGAACACGTACACACTAACATAAGTCTTATTGATCCAAGTTATTAACAAACTGCAATTGTTTTATGCGATATTAACAGCTTAGAGAGAAGTGTGAATGACTGATGGAACTTCAGAGGATTTTATTTTGAATTTATCGTTCAAGCCGCTTTAAATAACAAGCACACAATTTCTCCTCAGAAAAGTGTAAAATTCAGACCAATTTTGATACAATTAAAACTTTTATTTCACAAATTTTACGAGGTAAAAAGCATTTTAAAATGTAGTACTCAGTTTTACAGACACAAATATCAGGTCAAAATCAACTTGTACATTAAAGTGTTTAATGGCGACTAACAAGCAAACAAAATAAGATTTCAGATTCTCACTGCGACGGATATATGAAGATGCTGTCTTCTGTCATGTTACTCCCTGTAATCTGTTAATACTGACACGTTTAAGCGGAGCTCCTGTGAAACATCGGTCAACATCTATCAGTCCACACGGCGCAATATCCCATAAGACAGCCATCTTCAAATAATAAAGTGTTAGTTTGACGCCTGACACCATGACATGCATTAGACGGCCTCCATGATGGAG